AAAACACGTAATGCCCTTATTTGGATTGTTGTGTTTCAATCCGCTGGAATAAAGATCATTATAGTTTTTTAAAAATAAGCCATAGTGACAAAGCTTTAAAATTAGCTCTTCATATTGTATTTCAAACTCTTTACAAAAAATACTATTTTTTAAAAAATGCAAGAAGGCAATGCAAGTACAGAAATTAACTGAATTTTGGACATTGTGTTATCTGTGTCTCTTTAATCTCATGTGAAACCTGTAGTTAACAGATTTTTGCAGGCCCAGCTGTAGGACTGGTGGGCTCTGCTTGTCCAAGATAAAAAAAGATCTCTTGAAATTGAAACTAAGTCATAACTGTGTTGGTTACCTCTGAAAAAGCACTGTACAGCATGGGGGCAAATCCATTTCACCAATCACCCATCCTCTCACCAGCCATCTTACCTGCCATCTGATGGTGACCACTCCACCTAACCTGTTTGCTGGTGTCTCAAGTTACAGGTGCAGCTAGTGTGCAAGTTGGCCAGGTGCAAAGGTGCTCCTGGCCACTGCCAACTCCTGGGGTTCCAGGGTCAGCAATGAATCCAAGATCACCCCCAAACCATGCACCTGGGGGTCTTCAGGGGGAGTGTGACCCCCTCTAATATAGGCTGTAACCCCACACTCTGATCTGCCTTCTGACTGACCAGGAGTATCTCTTTTTTGTCTGGATTTTCTTTCAATTGATTAGCCCTCATCCAGTCCATCACTGTTGACAGGCACTGGTTTAGTGGCAGGATGACATCCTTGGCTTTTGGTGGGAAGGAGTACTAGAATTGAGTGTCATTGGTGTACATTTGACACTGAACTCCATAACTCCCAATAACCCCTCCCAATAGATTCATGTAAAATGTCAAAAAGCATGGGGGATAGAATTGAACCCTGAGGGACCCTACAGGCCACCAGCCAGGGAGTTGAATAGGAGTACTCCAGTGTCAAAATTTAGGTTTGACTTAGTAGAACTAATGAAACAAGGTATCTTAGAAATGACACCACTTCCCATAGAATGCATGCTTCTTATGTTAGTGAGATTCCTATAAAATGGTAGCAACGTATATAACTGATGGTCATTTGGTTCACTCCTGACACAATAAATATTAAATGCAGTGTAGTCGAGTGAGTACTGCATGATAACATCCAGTGAACTACTCACTGCTTCATCTTTTTGCTTTATTTAAATTGCCAGCTGGAATCAAATTCTGAAAAGATTGCATTTCATAATACAAGAGTTTTGGACTCAAAAGGAGATAGGTATAACAATCCTAGGAGAGAGAGAACATGCTCCAAAAATTAAGAATCAAAATCAATTCTGATAATACCAAAAATTATAGTCACTAATTTGATAATTGCTGTTTGTTTTATTTCATATGGTTCATTAAGTATGTTTTTGGACATAGCTGCACTATCTATAACATTTACAATTATTTTAATTAATAAATATCACAGCAGAACCCTATACAGGTCAATGTTCCATTGAATTCAATGAAGATCACATCTGAATAAGCAGGTTGAGAGCTGCAGACTCAAGTTTTATCTGATCACTCTACCCCTGCCTCCCTCGGTTACCTTTATTTTATCCTATATGCCACCTTCACATCTTGTATAATATAGGAAAGTTTTAAAAATTAAAATAAATAATCTCAGTAATTAACCAGGACTTGAGACTAGGAATCATTCTTTCAATGTACGTAATTCATTTATTGTCTAAGATAGCTGATATCCTTTTGTAATTCTTCACTGTTTTTACTGAATTATCATAGAATCATAGAATCATAGAGTTGGAAGAGACCTCATGGGCCATCCAGTCCAACCCCCTGCCAAGAAGCAGGAATATTGCATTCAAAGCACCTCTGACAGACGGCCATCAAGCCTCTGTTTAAAAACCTCCAAAGAAGAAGCCTCCACAACACTCCGGGACAGAGAATTCCACTACTGAATAGCTCTCACAGACAGGAAGTTCTTCCTCATGTTCAGATGGAATCTCCTTTCTTGTAGTTTGAAGCCACTGTGCCATGTCCTAGTCTCCAGAAAACAAGCTTGCTCCCTCCTCCCTGTGACTTCCTCTCACATATTTATACATGGCAATCATATCTCCTCTCAGCCTTCTCTTCTTCAGGCTAAACATGCCCGAAGCCGCTCCTCATAGGGCTTGTTCTCCAGACCCTTGATCATTTTAGTCGCCCTCCTCTGGACACATTCCAGCTTGTCAACATCTCTCTTCAATTGTGGTGCCCAGAATTGGACACAATATTCCAGGTGTGGTCTAACCAAGGCAGAATAGAGGGGTAGCATTACTTCCCTAGATCTAGACGCTAGGCTCCTATTGATGCAGGCCAAAATCCCATTGGCTTTTTTTGCCGCCACATCACATTGTTGGCTCATGTTTAACTGTTGTCCACAAGGACTCCAAGATCTTTTTCACACGTACTGCTCTCGAGCCAGGCATTGTCCCCCATTCTGTATCTTTGCATTTTGTTTTTCTGCCTAAGTGGAGTATCTTGCATTTGTCCCTGTTGAACTTCATTTTGTTAGTTTTGGCCCATCTTTCTAATCTGTCAAGATCATTTTGAATTCTGCTCCTGTCCTCATATATAGCTTTAGATTATCTGAAGCTTTACATTATCTGTTTTACAGTGAATGCCATTTTTCTACATTGTAGAGGAATATATTAAACAGAATGCGGCTGAGTACTGGCAATTAGATTATTCACCATAGCAAAAATCCATTGAGTGTGATGTTAAACACCTCAAAACACATATATTTGAAGCCAGGGTGTTAGGATACCCAAAATGAAAGAGTATGTCAACAGTGAATAATAAAACAGAAATCCACAGCTTGTTGATTGAAATCATTACAGAATTTTCAGTAAATGTTTTCTCAAGACATAGGTTATATTTTTGTTCACATTGGAAGATAACATTTAGCAGCTCAGTGCAAAAAGCTGCAATCAGAATATACTACAGCCTTATTCATGTACCAGCCCTATCCAGCTTTAGCATTAAATAGGCAAAGAGAAATTGACTAACTATGTCAATTGTTAGTCAATTGTGTTTCATCCTAAATTTGAAGTGAATCAAAACAGGAAAGGCTTTACTATTTGTGGATCTTTTCCAAGTGTTATGCAGCTCTGATCTCCCAGGGCCTGTTAAGAGAGGCTTTCCACTTTATGTTAAGGAAAAGTGACTAAAAAGATAAAGCAGAGACAAGACTGATGTGCTCCTTCTCCTTGAATGTTTAGTACTTACTCTGAGGGAACTATCTTGAATACATAACTTTAGAGTAGGGGTAGGAACTGGATGATGGCTGGCATGTTGTAACCCTAACCCTAATCCTAACCCTAACCCATTCCTACATCAAAGCCCACCCAGGCAGTAGACTCTGGCTTCAGTAGACACCATGCTGAATATTAATAGAAAAATCATCTACTACACCCAATGCCTTACATGGTCTTCTGTTATTTTGTGGTCTTGAAATATTGTTATCTAAATACTTGAATATTTTATTCATTTCTCAAAATTATATTAATAAATAATGGAGGATATCTCCAATTCCCCAGATGATGATAACCTGCTCTGCCAAAGAACTATTGGCTTTCAGTTTAACAACTAAGTACTAGCTTCTGAAAAATCCTTTGTTGTCCATGAATGTGTGAATTCTATCATGTTTAAAAATCTTAAGGACAGCCAAAGAATTTAGGGATTTGAATTGTGAAAAGCCACATTTCTCCATTGAAGTGAGATGTGTAGCCATAACAGAGTCCCTACAGCGTGTATACATGAGTTTTGGAGGAACTGTCGTTTTCCTAGTTATTTCATTTCTCTGTGTAATAGTATATCTATTACTATTATTTGGGGAGGGGGGGTTCTTGACAAAATGTGATCCCAATTGTCCACTGTAGCCAAAGAACAACTGCATATTTCCAGGCAACAACATTATTGTCTGAAAAACCTGTTGGTTAGCTCTAGGAAAAAAGAGAATTTTTGATAAATGATATTATAAAAATTAGTAAACGGTTATAAATATATATATATGGTTACATCCAAGTTTCTGACACATTCACAACATATTAGCTACTAAAAGGAAAACTATGCTCTTAACAAATAATGTCCATTTAAAATTAAGCACAGGCAGTCCCCGAGTTACAAACATCTGACATATCTGACTACTAGTTAGAAACATGGGTCAGCAGTACTAGATGGAGGAAGGGACTTTTGCAGTACTTTAAAATGTTTAAGCATTTACATGCACAGTTAAAAATAAAAATATATTAAGAAGTTGAATTTAAAGTAGAACTCCACTGATTTTTAAAATATATATATATATTTGATTGCTGTGGTGTGGGATTAGAGTCACTGTGGGATTATTATTCATGCCTGTATTCTTATTAGAAATATTTAATTTCACTTCCTGTCCACTTGGAAGGGAAATTCATTCCTTTAAGAATTATCCTGGGGAAAATGTGTCACTACTGAAGCATTCTTACCAATCCTTGTTTCCACAACAACCCAAAATTTTCAAAATCCAGTTGTCACAGGGACAGAAAGTGAAAGAGAGAAAAATGTTACAAGGGTGTTAACCTTTCCTTATGCTATCCAACACTAAAAAATGTACCTGTTCTGTCTTACCTTTTCCAAATTCAACTTTAGAACAAGCCTACATAAACTATCTTGTTTGTAACCTGGTACTGCCTGTATGTTTACATGAACACACAACAAATATGATAAACATAAAGGAAGCAATTACTTATAAAAGCAGTTAAAACATCCACCAACATTCATCTCATTAGGAAATAAAACAATGTGATGTTAAATCATTCACAACTATATTAATTGATTGCAATTATACTGGACTTCTTACTGAGTATATATCTTTGCAATATTCACATTCTCAAGTATTTTGATCATATTTTGTGTTTTTCTTCTTGTGGTTGCCTATTTATATTGTGATTTTTGTTCAGGCCATAACAAAGAAGCATACTGTACCTCGGGTGTCGATGGCTGTTGCCGATGGAACTGTGCTTGTTAAGGCTACAGTGGTTGTGACTGTTGCAGTGGTAAGGGAGGGGATGACAGTGGTGGGAAGCAAAATGTTGGAAACATCTGGTAAGTGGAAAAAAATATAAAATAAAATCATATCATGCAAACACAGATGGCCAGCATAACAATGATTCAATTTGTCAATACACACATGTAGAAAATGTATAAATTAAAACATGCTTAGCACAGACCAACAAAGATACAGTAGGAAAACTCTGAAATTCTTGACATGAGATCACTCTCCCTCTCTTTAATGTTTTCAATAGCAAAGGCAATTTTCTATGAATAAGATAGTTCAAAATGATCATTTTTTCTACAGAGCATGAGAGTGAATCCCTAAGTGACAAGAATCTTTCTCTTCCCTAAACCATTTTGAAGTGCTCCATAGGGCAATAAAGCAAATACAGATGAAACAACATGCTGTGTCAGCGTGAGAGATGGCAACACAACACTGTCATGCTAAAATAAACATATGTGTTAACAAGAGATGGCCGTATGTTAAAAACACCTACTTTTTGACAGACTCAACAAAAAAGATGCAGAGGGCTGCCATCTCTAAAATCTACTTTATCTGATTTACTTGTCGTCTTCCACATTTTGTTATAGATAAAGTTGTCTGCCAAAATCCAGAGCAAAAAACACATTAAATATCCTTACTTAGGGTGGAGTAATTCTCAAGCCAACACGAATGTTAGTCGTTTGATATAAAACAATATCTTACTGACCTTTTATATTTTAGATCAGTGGTTCTCAACCTGTGGGTCCCCAGGTGTTTTGGCCTTCAACTCCCAGAAATCCTAACAGCTGGTAAATTGGAAGGGATTTCTGGGAGTTGTAGGCCAAAACACCTGGGGACTCATAGGTTGAGAACCACTGTTTTAGATCGAGTAGTGTTGCTACATTTAAGCTAAATTCATTGCTGCTAAACCACAAAATCTATTTTGTGGTGTTAATGTGCAGAAAATAAATTTTCAGGGGAAGAGCCTCTAAAATGTATATTGCTTAGAACGCTGAGAATCATCATCCCTTTGTTTAGGAAGTCACTGGAAGTAAGATAGAAAACCCCCCAATTTGCTACTACTCTGAAACTCAACTTAAAGCACCTGGAACCTAGAATACTGGTTAACAGATAGGAGTGGCTTAATGTTAATATCTGTGAAACAATGCACCACAGAGAATGGTAATTCATCAAAATCACAGCATTTATTTTCTGTGAAAACCAGCATCATAATACAATCACTTTCCAGGGCAGAAGAGGGAAAATGAAATCAACCAGCATCTCACATGAGATATTTACAAGCTCAAAACATTGAGCTCTAAAGAAATAAACACTTGAAGCACACTGCATCAGCATTTGCAACAAATTGTTGTGATAGGAATACGTACAAAATCAAGGATGCTAACTTTTTGTCTCACAGATTGTATTGGCACTTCAAATATTTCATATTATTTCCCTTATCAATGAAAAATTGGGTGCTCTGAATTTCATATTCACTTTTCAGAACCGCACACACAATTATTCTCTCAAGCCTATATGTGCAAACTTTTTCACAGAAAAAAAGCCGCCTCTATTTAAAAAATCATGCATTCACCTTTTCCACAGTGATGTTTACATCTGTTCTTCACTAAGAGATACTCCTTGGCCAGCAAAATTACGGAAAGCTTTTCAAAACTCTAATGTCACCACATCAATCACAGGGACAAACTGCAGCAGTGCCTGGAGTGTAACTATCATTACTATTAAATAGAGCTGATGTTAATCAATACTGTTAGTGATTATCATGTTTTTTTTCAAAATGTTTTGTGCATATTTTATATTACTTTATAGAAAAGATGAGAAATTTTGTAAATGGATATGTTTGAGATCATAAACAAAAAAAAGGACAAGAAAGGAAATAAACACCTTCTTGGCATATTAAGGAATTCCAAACTCTCTAAATGTTCTTTAACAAAGTATATTTGTAAAAACTAGTCAAGAGAGATTGGAGAGAAAAAATAATAGATTATATCCAAATGGCCAAGCTGTCTAATTAACTTTGATGTAATAAAGTGAAGAGTTTGTAAACAAATGGTGGCTGGCCTTCACATCTTCGAAAGAAGGCTAAAGTTAATATTAAGGATGCTGCAAGGGGGGACTATTTAAAGAACTTGTATGGGTAGGTATTATAGGGTATAGGCATCATAGTGAACAGGGATGGAAGCCCAAGGTGGTGGGTTCACAGGTGTGGGGATGGAAGGACTGTATTGTCTCCCGTGTTTGTTACTGTGTATGTATTTTGTGTGTTCAGTTTGTAAATGCATATAACTGTTTCCTCTTTTTTTTCACTAATAAAATTTATTATTTGAATAAAAAACAAATATAAATAAAAAACAAAGTTCATTTGCTATTGACAATTTTTGTTGATATCCTTTCCCCATTGTAATTTCTAAGGGTCAAAGTAGATGTTAATTATGGGAAAACTTCCTATAATTAACACATATTCCTTCCAGTTATCAGAATGGCTTAGAAAGACATGCCTCTGGCACCTTTCTTGCAAATTAAGCTCATGTATTCTTTCTGATGACTAATCATAAAAGAAAGCACACTAAAAGCAAGACAGGTAGGTAAGGACAATCACTTGCTGTGACAATCAGATTTATTTTACTGCTGAAAGGAAGACGTCTTTACATACTTGCTAAGCTTAAGATCTACTTTTGTCCCCACTCAGCACTGTAGCTCAAGTTTCGAGGTACTTGGGGGGAGCAGTGTTAAGAAATGGAAGGACTTTGCACAACCTCCTCCACATTTTATGAAATTATTGCAAAAGAATATCAAGAGAACATTTCACATTTTAGGAATTGTATTTACCCATAAATTTGGCATTTGAAATGAATAAATGGACCAAAGGAATGAAGGAACATGGCTGCTTTGAGAAATAAAGGATTATGGGATGAACCCCTCTATTAAAAATGTCACATAAACAAATGCTCAGAGACAAACTTGCTTAAATTATGCATATATTGTTATTGCAAGAGGTTGTGGCAAGATGGAAGGGAAAAGGGGAAAATCCCAGTATATAATCTGATTTTCTTTCTACATGCCATTGGTTCAGATCAGACAATGAGGAAACCTTCAACCAACTTTGGCTGACCTTGAAGGGTCAAGCCCAAATTAAATTGGGGATGCGGACAGAAAAGTGTGTCTGACAACTTTTCTGTAATGAGAAAGGTCACAGAAGGAGTGAATTTAAAAGATGATACTTTTATAAAGTGTTTATAGAAGGAATGTGAATGGAGGAATGACTAGATTGTTATATGGAGAGAAAATAAAGTGCGTGCTTTCTTATCATATGTTGTCAGCAGCTGAGGATAGGTTGTTTAATTTCAAGAGACATTGGCAATGCTTAGAAAATGTTTTACTTTATACTTCAGCTTCCAGAATTCCCACCTGTGAAGATTATGAATTACAATGCATCCCACATACATTTTAAATTCTCATTATATGCTTATAGCATCATTGACCTTTGTTTGTGCTGCCCCTACCACTGTGCATCATGCCATCTTGCTGGGCTGACATATCACCACTCCAAAACAATGTCACTAGTTTAACCTGTGAAATGCTGAAAGCCATGATTATAAATAAGTGTTCCAAAAATCACTCAGTACACCCTGTGCTATCATACTGCACTTCCAACATCTTCCTAATATAATTTTCTGTAAACTGCTTATCTCTCAAACCAATTGTACTATACTCTCCCCTAATGAAAAGATACTTTTTTCAGTGCATAGTGCAGAAGATGGATGGAGCTAATGGGTTGCTTGTGCTGAGAACAGCTGCTCTGTCTTTGGGAGCAGGAAAGCTAAGAAATGTTTGACACATCACAGCAAAAGGTTCTACAGTTCTCTTAATGTGGGTTCATGCACAAAACAGAGGATTGGAAGAATGTCTGTTTCAAGGAGGCAAAAGGCCTCATTGAAACAGGAGGGAGAAGGGGCACAGGGAGATCAATACCAGCACCATAATCGTTTTCTGGACCAAGCAAACATACTAGAACCTCCTCCTTTCCATGCCATAGTAAAAAATGTAACCTCAAGTCATCAAACTACTACATCTGGATGAATGATATCATCCTTATAGCTTGGAAAAGTTACTTTCTGGGTCATCGGAATCACCCATGCTGTCTGTGGAATTCTGGAATTTGTAAGCCAGAAAAGTATTTATTTATTTATTTATTTATTTATTTACAGTACTTATATTCCTCCTTCTCACCCCAAGAGAGACTCAGGACAAATCACAGAACACATATACATCAAACATTCAATGCCAATTATAGAATGACAAGATAGACAACAGATACAGGCATAAAGAATGCTTTTAGAACATGGTCATACAGCCTGAAAAACCTACAACAATCCAGTGATTTTGGCCATGAAAGCCTTCAACAATACAGATAAAGGTATATTTAGGGTTTTTTTCTCATCATTTGACATAGTTTGGAGGTTGTCCTCAGTTCCAGCCACAGGGGGGTGCTTTTGCTCCACCTCCTTGCTGAAGAGCTTTCTTTGTTTCTAAACTTTCCTCCAAAATGCCGTGCCTAAAATACTTCTCCACTCAATGTGATTCCTAGTCATCTATTCACATTGCTGCTTTTGATCCACTAGGTGGGCAGGGGAGCTGGGCTGAAGGTCAGCAGCTCACCTTGACCTGGCTTCGGACTATAAAATTTTCGGTTGGCAGGATTTACTGCAGCTGCACCTAGTTATTAACCTGCTGTGGCTAAAGTCAGTCCATAGTAGCTTTGGATGAGCTCTCCACCTTTTATCTCACCTCTAAATGCCCCTGTAACTATTCTTTTAAATTAAATTGTATTGAAGTGGTGGATAAGGCTGGGTTCCTGATATCCTTTAAACCACTTCCATAGTTTTATTTGAAATTGGGTTTAATATATTAAGTTATTCTGTTTTAACAGCCTTATAAAAATACAAAAATGAATAATTTCCAAAGTTCTCATATCACATTGTTTAATAGATATGATATAGCAGCCCTTAGTGGGTCTTAGCATCTAAGGGGAATGCATCCAACA